ATAGCTCTATTTATTTTCTTTAGAAACCACTTTGAAGATACCAAAGTATAGTACAAGAACCATTGATAATAATCTACTACTTTTGTCTGCAGCTCACTATTATTTGTCTATTTGTTTTCCTGAGAAACTATCTTGTAGATAACAATATGTAAAACAACAACCATTGATAATTTCCTACCACTTTGTCTGTAATTTGGTAAGCCTCCGTATTATTATATTATCCTTCTTTTACTCTTTAAAATAATTAAAAAAAAAAAAAAGACATGGGATAGCCCCTTCCTCCATTGACTTGCCATTTGCAGCTTTCTGCTCTGGTTAGGGAGCACTGGGAGGCCCAGGGACCTCGATCAGTGCAGAAGGACTCCTTTGTCCTCAGTTTGTTTCCTCAGTTTGTTGCTTCATGCTTCTCCTTTATGTGTGGTGCGTAGGTCAGCTTTCCTATTGCTGGGGTAAAATACCTCCTACTGCACTTAAAGGAGAATAAGTTTATTTTTGCTCAGCTTTAGAGAATTCATTCTGTGGTCGGCTGGCCTGAAGGTGGAAATAGTGGCAAAGGATATGGTGAAGCAGAACAGCATCGTTCATGGCAGCCGGGATGTGGAGTGGGGAACAGACACAGGATGGAGGGGCAGGAGCCAGATGTGGGCTTCAAGGTCACGGCTCCGCGACATCCTCAGACACACCCAGAAGTGTGCCTCACTGATCCCAGTGTCTCCTGAGCCAATCAGGTTGATGCGTTTAACCGTCATATATAGTAATCCTTCCCCTACTTTTAAGATTATTTCTAAAAACCCACACATGTTGGTATTCCTTTTGTTTCTTTTCTTTTTTTACCCTTCTCCTTTGTCTGTTCTGCTTTGATTTTGGTTTTTAAGTACATAATTCATTCTAAAACTGAAAAAGTTGTTGAAAATACTGTACTAGCCTAGACACTGTCTTTTTATGTGTTTCTAAGGGAGGGGCTGAATTGGAATGTTTGTGCTACAGTAGTGTTCTTTATTGTGACATGATTATTGATCATAACATCCCCCAGCTCTTTGCTGCACCCTGAGCTCAATCTGGGAAGCTTTGCTGTGTTGGACCAGTATAGCGGAAGGGAGGGAGAGGAACATGGTGATGATCCCATTCCTGGTGGTCATTGTCCTTCAGCTCTGACACCTCATCTAGTCTCCCCTGGCCAGGTGAGCCACACTGAGACAGTGCCCGTGGAGGGTCCCAGGGCCACTTTTGGCACAGTTTGTGTGTGCATGTATTGGAAGAGATTCTGGTTTGCAGTTGGTCCTGCTAACATGCCACCTTTCTAATTGTTTCAGACTCTGCTGACATCAGACAGAGGGAAGAAACCAAGTCCTAGTTGCTGAAATGTCTGCTGGTGCTGAGCGTTAGGTGAGTGAAGAAATTTTGCCCACCGCGACAGCTGCCTATAGCATGGGCTCTTCCAGAAGTTTGTACTCAACCTTCCACCTCTTAGCAGTCTCATCTGGTCTGTGCTATGCCTGGTCCTGTCGGGACCAGGGAGCCAAGGAGAGACCGTGTTACAAAGCTCAGACCTTCCAGCCTGTGTGGAGGCTGTGGCTGCAATGAGTGGATGGGCAGGGCTTCTTTGAGGTGGTGCTGGGGTGAGGCTTATTTGAGTGGGAGCCTTGCACCCAGATCAGCAGAGCAGCAAGGGGCTGGGGTCAGTGCGCCAAACTAGGGACACTGTTCCCCATGTTCCCTGGGGACTGTGCTGTCAGGAGTTCCTTGTGGGTTTTAAAAAGGCCTGCCTTCCCACCTGGGGATCCAGGGAAAGGTGACCCCACTACTCTGTGCCTCACTAGCTCACAGGCCTGCACCTGGTTGTCAGAGAGACCTGGGGAGGCTTTGGGTCTGCTGGCCTCATTCCTCTCCTGCCTCCTGAATGTGGATGGAAGGCAGTGCACAGGGCTTTGCACTGGTGTGAGGTCAGGAGCACAGGTGTGCCGGGCTCCACCAGACACAGCAATCCTGGGAGGGCCCTGCACTTGTAGGGGCATCTCCAGCCCTGCCACCACCCCCTCTCCCTACTGTGATTGGTATACCTGGCTCGCAGGTGCCACCTGTAAACTTGGGGAGCAAGGGTACGCTCCCGCCCTCAAAGCACTGAGAGCCTCCAAAGCCAGCTGTGGCACATGCCTGTGTGAGATCCCATCTCCGTGTGACTACAGAGCCGGGCGGCTGACCCTAAGGGCATGTACTGACCCATCCCCATTCCAAGGCAGGCCACTAATCTGTGAGGGGCAGGAACCTACTGTCTTAGTTCACTCCTGCAGTCACTCAGTGGCTGTCACACTTAAGCTGGGGTTGAGCTGGGGCATCTGTGGTAGCTCCTAGAAGAAACAAGCACATCCAGCCTAGGGGCCCCGTGGTTCTTGTGTTTCTGGCTTGCCCACCTGCCTGGATGGAGCAGGAGAGAAGCAGGCTGGGGAGGCGGATCCTCTGTGTCTAGCTTGGTTGGGGCCCTACAGGTCCATCTCCTAGAGGATCTGCTGGTAGAGGCATAGCCATGCAGACACTGTACCCTCTGTGGCCAGTCCTGGGGGTGTGGAGTCAAGGTTTACGCAGGCATGTATGTGTTAGAAGGTGTTCCCAGATGTGGCTTTTGTTTAACATGAAGGATATTCAATGCCCTGTACTGACTGTGCAGGCAGCCCCAGCCCTCCGGCTCCCGTCCATGGGCACCTCATCCTCCTGATCCTTCTCAGGACTTACAGACCACCTCTGGCTATGGCTTTTGCATCATGGACACAGTGGTCCCCCTTATGTGCAGTTTCAGTTCGCCTGATTTCAGTTACCATCATCAACCAGAAGGCTGGGGACAGTACAATGAGATATTTTGAGAGAGAGAGACAGGCAGACAGACAGACAGATACTATCTGTACTCACATGTCTGTACCACAGTGTATTGTTCCAGTTGTTCTATTTTACTCTTGTTTATGTCTTACTGTGCAGAACTAGTAAGTTACAGGGAAAAGCACAGTGCACCAGGGTTCAGCACTGTCACTGAGTCTTAGAACACTCTAGTTTGCAGATAAAAAGCCATCTAAAGTGGAGATACTTAAGGTTAAGATATATATAATATGGGAACTCGGGTTGAAGTGGAATAAAACATAACTTTTTCAGGGACCTTTGCTAATGTGAAGTGGTCCATACAGTTTTCTTTTGGTGGGACCTCAATGTGGGAACAAAGCAAGCATTGTCCTTGTTGCCTCAGTGGATCTGCTCTCTGATGCCATCCTGGAAATTCAGCCAAGAATTGAGGGGTGGCCTCTGCCAGTAGGGGGAGGGTTGCTGTGTATCCACAGGGTCTCATGTGAGAGCAGTGACAGGGTTCTGGGAGGCCCAGCTGCCAGGAAGGGTTGGTGTGCTGGGGTGCCCTGCAGACTGCTGGGCAGTGCTGAGAACACAGAATCACCGCCAGCATGGGCTGCCAGGGCGTGTGAGGTCCCAAGGCAAGGACAGGTTTCACCGGGACATCTGTCTGGGGAAGCCAAGAGTGACAGGTTACGAGGCTGTTACCTGCTGTGGTTTCTTTTCTTAGATCCAAACTCTTTGATGTGGGTGTGGTCATGGAAGAAGCTAAATGCAGAAGGCGAAGTACTCGGGGTTTTGTTGTCATTTTGGTGCTCCTGGCTTTAGTTTTCTTTCCTTTTCTCTAGCCGTCTTTGTCCCAATCCCATAGTCTTCCCTGCGAGCTGCACTGTTGCCCTACAGCTGAGGAGGTCTTCTGTATTTTTAGCAAGTATCTGAAATATTCACAGAGCTGGGAATAAGGTGGTTGTACCTCTAATTAAATGATATTGAAGTGGGAGGTGATTACTTCTGCATGTTTCAGTAGGCCCAGGGGGAACTCTCTGGTCCTATCTGGGCTTCTCACTAAGCCCTGTGGGGCTGTCACCTGGGAAAATACCCCAGACCCTCCCCCATGGGTACCCAGAGTCCTGTGGGTGCAGATCTGAAAGTTCCAGGGTTGTTTTATACATCTAAGTGACCTTGTCCTTAATGCTGGTCCTTGTGTTGTCAGCCACACACACTGTGTTAAGGCATACAGTACAGACAAGGCCAGCAGGTCTTTCTGGAGGAAGCAGTACACAACCTTGGGATATCCAGTGGCCCTAATGTGACAGAGAACAGGCACCATCCATCCTCCTGTGCACGGGTGGGGCCAGCCCCGAGCCAGCAGTGTGCCATGGTGCTGGGGTTCTAGCTTTCTCCCATCAAAGCTGGCTGTGAGGGCCCTTGGAGGCAGCAGCAGAGAGGGCTCCTATCTCATATTTTGGCAGAGCTTCTGGGCCTTTCTCCTTTAGGTCTGCCCTGCCCTGCCGAGCCCACCCCAGTTCCAAAGGTCCTGTGTTCTCCAGGTGTCAGTTTCCTTTGCTTTCTGTAGTAGAGAAACAGTGTGTTCATTTACAGTTCATTTTCCATATGTGTCCTGAGCACATGGGTTGGGAGCTGGTCCTGTATGTCCTGGTTTCACTGACCCTGTGCTGTGTCCCATCCCAGGAGGGCTGCCCTGGAAGCCTCTTCTACCCTCACCCCACGTGCACTTGCTTGGCTGCCTTGGGTGTGGGTGGGGGGCTGCTGCCTGCACAGCTGTGGGGCACCCAGCCAGAGCCCTGGGAGAGGAACCCCAGGCGCTACCACATCTGCCCAGGCTATTTATATCCCACAGAGGCCCATTTTTCTGCGCAGAGTGAACATATGGCCATGCGGTCATGCACACGAGTGGAGCTGGTGGGACCAGCCTTTCATTGAGCAGCTTTCTGGATGTGCCTGGCACATTCTCATCCACATGCATGCTGCATGGTTTCATGCCGACAGCTTTCCGGAGCCCTGGGGCAGCCTGTGCCAGCCTGTGTATCCCTGTCACAGTACCTGGAGACAAAATTTTTTGTGGTGCCTCTCATATGGGATAGGGCCTCAGCAGAGAAGCAAGCATTACACACACGCACACACACGCACACACACACACACACCGTGTCTGTCCCCTTGCTGCTGCCTGATGTGTAAAAGGTGTAGCCCCCAGCATCTTGCATGGTGCTTGCCTCTGGCCAACTCAGAGGGGGCTGTCCATGTATGCAAGAAGCGGCAGCCCCAGAATATTGTAAGCAGCAAACTTGCCTTTGCTTTCCTCTGAACAAAGAGTCCTAGGCATGATCTTGGAGGAGACAGGGTAGTGCATCCTCTTTGGCCCTATTGGAAAAGCAGAGACACAACCTTGGAGCAGGCCCCACTCCCAGACCCTCAGCCTCAGGGTTTTATGGAGTAGTTTTTGTCCCTTGTATAGACCAAATAGTGACCCCAAAGATACTTGGCTCTAATCCCAGGAATCTTGAATGTGACCTGATAGAAATAGCATTTTTGCAGATGTGATTAAGGATTTGGAGGTGCGGAGGTGGTGCTGGATTATCTGCTGGGTCCCACACGCAGTCACAGGTGTCCTTGAGGAGGGAAGTAGAGACGGACAGGAAGGGGAAGGAGCAGGCTGTGCGGAGGGGAGGCAGACACCACTCTGAGGGCAGTGAGGACCAAATGTTCGTGCCAACATGCCTGGGTGAGGCAGGAGGCGTTCCCAGTGGGGTGAGCATTGGAATTAGTGGGCTCAGGAAAGTAGATCACCCTCCGGTGAGGGTGGGCCTCCTCCAGTCCAGTGAGGGTTCCAACAGAACAGAAAGAAGTTGCTGTGCCGCCTGCCTGGACCTCCGTCTCTCAGCTTGCAGACAGCAGATCTTGGGCCTCAGTCTGAGTCATCGCGGGAGCTGTGTCCTCATGGTGAATCAGTCTTATCTCGATCTTGCTCGTGCTCCAGGGAGAGGCTGGGTCTCTCACAGGGAGGGAGTGAACCTCCTGGCTCCCTCCCAGACTTGGGTGCAGTGATGCTGATTGCAGCTCCTGACTTCCCGAAGTACGGGAGAGTAACTTTTTGCTGTTTCCAAGCCAGCAGCTTGTAGTAATTGATGAGAGCTGCACAGGAGAATAGTGCTGTCAGTGTAAACAGTGCTTCCCTAAATACACAGCCGCAGCCTTGGAGCTGTCATTCTGCGGTTTAGATTTCAGGGCGGGACACCATGGGGCAGCAGGGGCGCAGGGCATGTCTTTGTTTTGACAGATCTGGCCAGTTCAGCTTCCTGAGATATCTAACAGTTGATTGCAGGTGGAGGACCCTCTCCCAGTACCCTCTCAGCAGTGGCCAGAGGTCTCTGCCTCCTTGGCTGTGGGGTAGTGACAGCTTTGTTAGTGGCTGGTCTCTGGGGGGCGTGGTGAGTGCGGTGTCTTTGCCTCTTGTTTTCCAGCTATGGATCCTTCGGTGAACTGCCTGTCGTGCTCCTCTTTCACCCTGTTTCTAGTCACCCCCTCTAACCCATCTG